GCAGACAAAATATTAGAACCAACTGAAAATTTTAAACTTCAAGCGAAGGCATAGACAGCCAACAGCTGATTATAAATCAGGAGAAATTTGAAGAACAGACGCCAATTCATGTGCAAGCACAAACAGTAGAGATATTTCCACCAGAAATATATCTTATGAAACCATCCATGCAATAATTAGATTTCTTACGAATATATTATCAATAAAATAAAAAACTTCTCATTAAAAGCTACTTTGAAGGAGAAGACAACATACCTTGCCATGAACTGCCTTTACCAAACTTGAAATTATGTCTTTCCCAGGTTTTGTATTTGGTGTGATGAAAACTCTTCGACCCTGCAAGGATGCCACCATATTAATATCTGAAGGGAAAAAGGTTGGCAACTGAAACATATCAAACATAAAAAATCTTACCTCTAATAAGGGATGCTTTCGTGCACGTGCCAAAGAAACAGGCATACAGAAGCCAAACTCCTTTTCCTTCTTGATGTCCCTCAGTAAACAAGTTTCCTCATCAATATGTATGTTAACCTGTCCAACACTCTCAAGCCATAGATGCGTAACAACTGGTTTGCCAGAAGCCATTGCTTCTAACATATTCCTTGTGCGCACAAATTTATCTGTTACAAAATGTGTTGCATCTAAAATAGAGGAGACTTCAGGAATCCCTAGGCGCACCGAAATCTGAGACAAGATAAACATAAAAGGTTAGTTAGACAAACTTGTGCGTTTCAAAAGAATAATAGCATGAAAAATCCAACCTTTCTCTGCTGTTTAATAATATCATCGTCCAAATGGTGGCTAAACATGACCCGGATATCTGCCAAATCTCTCCTCTTTCTTGTATCTTTAAGCGGAGAAATAGGATCTGGCTCTGAGGGGTTAAGACTTCGGATTTCATTCAAGAGGGAAGTTCTTGACAGGTTTTTCTTGCATGATTGTTTAAAATATTCGCCGCCTATGCAGACAGGTGATGCTGCCTTGATGGGTGTCGCATGGTTAACCGGAGTAATACACACTGAAGGATCGGGTTTGTCTTTTGGGGATTTATGTAAGGTGAAATCTGCTTCCACACTAGCCAGTGAAACTGCATCACTCCTGTCAGAATGATTGATCACCTTCACCCCCATAATTCTAGATTTCATCTTCCCATTCATGTCAGCAGATATCTGGTGAACATCAACCCCCAAGCCCTGTTGTTTGCTATTACTTTCCTCTTTGTCACTACTTTTCTCTGCCACTTTGCCCGCAGAATTTCTCGCTGCAGATCGTGTTTCTCTCCTCATAGTCAAATCAACACAGGTGCTTCTGATGTTGCTTCTAGACCTCTTTGGCTTATCATTAGATTTACCTTTTTCCTCTAGCAAAACCGATGGTTTGTGGAGAGCATCTGAGTTATTACATTCATGATTATTAACAGACATTTTCTGACAGGATCTTCTTTGCTTAGGGAAGCTACCGGTTCTTTTCTCTTGAAGGGAACTAGCCTCCACTGATGGGTTTGAAACTTCTGTATGATCAGTGGGTGTTTTCTCAGCCCTTTTCAAATTTACAATCATGGACTGCCTAGTTCGATGAGCAATGGGAGTAGAAGCACAAAGTTTCTCCTGCAAATATGATCTCTTAACCAAGCTATCTCCAGCTAGTTTTCCAGTTCTATGAAGTGTAGTAGACTCATGTGGTTGACTTCTTTCCATAGGAGCATCCTTGATTCTTTCATTAACACTCTTGCAAATTCTACCCAAGTCTTCACCTCCATTAGCAGCATGGTGTTTTTCAAAAATTGGCTTAGTCCTCTTTGTTTTTGGCATCAGTGACTCTGTATCACATTTCTTCCTGACATTCTTGGAACATTTCTTCAACAATATGGAAGGCTCTTCACATAATCCAATACTTTGCCTCTTTCTCTTTGATCGTCTTATAGCAAGATCAGTATCAGAACGACAAACCTCAATGCCTGCTGTTGTTTGTCTTCGCAAAACCCTCTTTCTAGGTTTGACTCGTGGAGAAGGTTTAGGGGAACCCTTAAGTTCATTTTGGTCACCTTGACAGTTAACATTAGCCCCATGGTCAGTTATCTCCACTTCGTAGCCCAAGGCTTCCATAGCTTCAGCAGCCATTTGAGTGTCAAAACCAACATCTTGCAGTTCTAGCATATTTGCCTCGGTAGCAGTGGTCTCCACCTGTCCTCTTGAGACATCTATATTACACTGTTGATCAAACTCAGTGACAAGATTCCTTCTAAAATTCATTTCAGCATCTTGCCCTGTCTGCTCTTTCTCTTTAGTATCTTCATACATTACTTTTGAATCAGAATGAGCCATTATTTGATCATCATCACATGGTTGTTCTTTTTTATCTCTACATTCATATAGTTTCCTTCCTTTAGGCCTGCGGGGTTCAGTATAAGATTTCCTTGCATGGCTTCCTCTACCAAAGAATTCTTCCTTCTTCCTACAGAAAATATCTCCTCCTCTATCATCCTCACAGGTATCATCCCAATCAAAGATACATGTTTCTCCAAACAAGATTCTTTCATTGGTCTTCTTAGCCAAATCTTTTGGCCCTTTTGCACTTGAAACAGGTTTTGATTTTCCCCTGAAACACTTTATATGGCCAACTTCAACATCAGACTCCTTCAAATTAAAATTAATGAGCCTATCCACAAAATTAAGTGCATTGGCTTGGGACAATTCCCCAGGTTCTTGAGAGTCAATATAACTTAAACCTGCCAAAGGAACATCACAGAGAGGATCCAAGTCCACTCTTGCATCTGAATCTTCAGTAGTGGAGGAAAATCTATTGGCATCAGTAACTGCTTCCTCATAGAGGAGTTTTCTTGCTGCTGAACCGCCAACTTTGCTGTTGTTTACATTACTCAATATCTCCAAGGTTTCATTCTTCTCCACACCATGCACCCGAACATTGTCCTCAACTTCTGCATTTGACCCATTATTGCTGTTGTGGACAGTGAATTGGTTCACAAACTGATTATCAGTAAGCACAGAAGAAGGGCCCTTCTCAATTCCTTTCAGAGCCAAATTACGTGCTGCCAGACCAGAAGCCCGCAAGGATTCTGCACGAACTGCAGTAAATTTTGGTGCAGGCCCTGAGAAAAAGAAATATATTAATACAGAAACTGCATTTTGTACATCTCTAATAAATTGAACAAATAATATTTCCAGGGAGGCAGCAGTCAGTTATGTTTAAGAAAGCAAATGGAATTCGCCAAAAGCATTTATCTAAAAGAAAATGGTTCCTGGTTTGCAAGGTGTAGCCTCTCATCCAAAATTTTAGGACAAAAGAAACTCTAAGCTGCTAATATGTACAACTAAGATGCTAAAATATTTTTATCACGTATCATTAAATAGTGGCAAAATTTTTTTATAGGACCATGTTATACTTTAAGCACAAAATCTTGGATGAAAATAAAACATGCTGCAAAAGAACACATACCAGATTTTGGTTTTGGGATAGCTTTAACTTCTGGCATCATTACAGAATCAGGTGGACCTGAAACAGTGAGGTATCCTAAATCAGTTTCCTAAATCCTTAACAACTTCATTGCATGCAGAACTTATGCATCACATCAGAATTGGCAGTTGACTTCTCAAGCTAATAACCTTAGAGCATACAATTCATCTTTGCACTTCCCTTCTTTCATCCTAATCAATCCATTATAAAATTATGCAAACAAAATAAAGAATATAGTACTAGTCAACCATCACATGGTAAAGCAACATCACAAGACGTTTAGCAGAAACGCACTGATTTAACATATTAAAATTTTAGAAGAATGACCTGAACTTCTCTGTTCATCAGTAAAGTCATCGGATCGCCCCATCGAACACTTCTTATTATGTGCACAGGGAGAAGAACACTTAATATTCTTCTCACCCAATGATGGACTGTGGTCTCTTCTAACAGACTTATCATCAGGAAGTTCATCACCGTCAGACAAAATTTCAGTAGTATCTGTCCCTTCACCATCGCCATCAAGAGCAACTTCATCATCAAACTCATCCAATAACTGTGTACCCATTCCCATATTTTCAATACAATATGGATCATCCAAAACTTGTGTTTCACCACCAAAATTCAACACTTGGGTTTCCTCAACAAGACTCACAACTTGTGTTTCCATTGGATCATCAACCAGAAAATCATCATAAAATGGTGCAGTAAATTGTAATTCATCAGCATCCCCATCATTAATTTCATCACCTAAATTTTAATTTTCCAGATACATTTCATTAATAAACGCAGAAACAAGTCATAATACTGATAAGAGAAACAAAATAAAAAATCTAAAATTTGAAACTGGCATCTTTTTTAAGTTTTTTTTTTTCTGGCTGAAAACTGACACATCACTACCAGTCCACCACCCTGCACTGAATCATACACAAAACAGTAAACTTTTCTCTATAGCATCAAAACAACAATTTTGTCCCTTATTCTTTCAAAGTCAAAATTTCTTCTTTCCTACAGATTTAATTACATGATATAAGATGGAACAGTAACGAATCAGGGATTAAAAAAATATTACCTGGAAATTGAAGCGGTGAAGACTGAGAATCGAAAGGCTGTGTCTCGGTATGGGCAAAATCCGCATGCTGGTGCCCTTCAGAGGGCTTAAATTCACTAGCACCATCCCCAAGCGAACCCATTTCACTTCAATTTCATCTGCGAACAAAGCCATAACCATATTAAAACCCTAAAAAGCAGAAACATTTCACATCTCAAAGCACTCATGCTTTCGTGGTAAACAAAAAAAAAGGAACAGAATGAGGAGGCGATAAGATTACCTGAAAAGATCAGAGTGGAGAGAGAATATTGCTTAGATGCAGCGACGGAGAGAAGGAGAGGAAGGGATTTCGTTTTTGGAGGGAAGAGCAGGAATTTTGGAGGGAAAATCGAAGGTAATGGCGGCAAACTTTACTGAGAAAATTGAAAAACATCCCTAATTTTTCTCCGCTGTCAGGGACAGACGCTGTTGACTTTGACTGTGGGAGAATATTCTTCTCTTTTTTTTTTATTAGAAAAGAAAAAGAGAAAATTGAAAGTAAAGATATTAAATTAATTTGTGGGGAGTTATTTAAACATTTTTAATAAATTTTTTTGTGTATTAATTTATTAAAAGTATTTTAATTTTTTTATTAACATATTAATTGTGAAGATATCCTTATTGTTCTCAAACTTAAAGAAAATTTAAAATTTTGAGAAAAAGGATAAATTAATATATAAAAAAAATTTATTCATAATATTTAAACAATATAACAAATAATCATAGTTTTTAAATAACATTTAAATTTTTACCTTTTTCTTTGATAAAATATGCTTATATTGAACTTGCTCTTTCGGATCAAGTGGTTCTAATCACACTTGCAAAATTCATATCTCCCTATTTAAGAGCAACGGTTCGAGTCGACTCTATAATAAAATGTTCATAAAAAAAATATGCTTATATGTTGTATCTGATCCTTCGAAATTAGTAATATTAATCACATTAAATAAATATATATACATTTTTTTTTAGTAGATTTCATCCCATCTCATATTAAATTGTTCAAAATATATGTATACATATATATATATATATACATACATACTTATACCCTAACTTTTTTTTTTTTTTTTGGGTAACATTTTTCAATCAATTAATCGGACGGTTCGAACATGGTACAAAAAGAAAACAAAGTGAAGAGTAATTACGTGGCTTGATAACGGTCGTTACACGTTGATAAAGACGAAAAAAAAAGAGTTAAGGGGGCGTTCCGAGAATCGAACTCGGGACCTCTCGCACCCAAAGCGAGAATCATACCACTAGACCAAACGCCCTTTGTTGGTTACGAAGTGAAATTGTATTATTAAATTTGTATATCTACGTTTAGAACTAGCCCTTTTTTGGGCCGTCCAATTAGAACTAGACTAAGAAGACAAAATAACATTAAAGTCAAACCCTCAAAATTTTTTAAAAAGAAATTTGGCATCCGGTTAAGTAGTTCCCACTAATAAGCCATAGGTTTTTGGAAAACAAGTAGTACTAATAAGCAATTAGTTGATATCATAGTTTTAAGTAATTGAGAGACATTATTTTCATACTTTATAATGTTATTGCTACACTAAAATTAAATATACCTTTTTAACTCTTTTATCTAAGAATAAATGAGAAGGTAGTAAAGATGCTTTAAAAAAAAAAAAAAAACTCATTAATTAAGTAGAAGTGATAAATGATCAGGTAATTCCCCCTTCCCTCATCATCCAGTTCTCATATCTTCTCGGTCCAAAATCTAGAGAAGAAGGGCCACATGCTGGCGAGGATGATAGGAGGGGCTTGAAAAGAATGATGGTCTGAGGTTCTAGTTTCCAATTTGGGATCCCTAATCTAGTTCTTTTCATCACCTGTTTCCTCCTTTCTCTAGGTGTGATTGATTGAGATATTTATTTATTTATTTATTTATTTTTGGTATTTATGGTTATGGTGTTTCCAAATTAGTTTTTTTCTTTCTTTTTTTGCACACGTTGAGATTAATCCTTCATTAAGCAATTTTAAAAGTACACTGTTTACACGAGTTTGCTGCATTCAAAAAAATTAATTTCTTTAAATGTTGATCTCTAAAATTAAATATTGAATCTGACTTATAAAACGATACTTATTTACTCATAAATTCAAACCCTTGAGGGTTAATTGTGTTGTTTACAATAATAAAAAATATGATGTTAAATTCCAAGCCCTAAGTTGAAGAGAAATTGATAGGTGGAGGACCTGATGAGGGAGAAGCTCAAAATTGGTTTATTTAGTGGAATTGTGGGTTTAATTTTACAGTTTTATTTGAGTTTATGGAAAACTGAGTTTAAACCTAAGACAACCCGTTTTTCTCATCTAAGAATGTAAAATCAAACATTTTTACATGTTAAAATGCAATTTTAATAACCATATCTCATGCCCAAGGAGATGGAGTAGTCCCCATAGAGGAAGGCATTTATTGAGTAAGTGAGTGAGTCTATGTGCTCTTAGATGGCTCTTGATGGGAAGGAGCTTTTTAGTTCAATATCTTACTCGCCCTCGGCGCCTATAATATGCTTTATTCCTTTCAAACTAAAGGAGAAGTCTCGCTATACCCCTTGGATGAGTAGTTGATCCCACTTCCATTGCTAGGCCATCCTAAGTTGTAAGCTCTTCTAGTTCTAGTTTCTAGTCTAAACCTATCCAACTTCTGAAGAAAGATAAAGCTAAGCGGCGATGGGCCATTCCCTCTAATCCATTGTAAGTTCGCTTGGGGAGAAAGCTTCAAGCCAGCTATATCTCACAAGGGAGCAATATATCATAAGGAGCGTTGGAGTATAAAGAGAGTTGCCAAGAAGGAGATGGAAGCACATAAGGATTATTGAGTTATTTATCTTCTACTAGGATTGGGGACTCAAAAAAAGTTTCCATTAGATTGGCCTCAATTTGCTAAGTGGTGTTAAAAAGTCACAGTAGCAATATGCTGTCAAGGTTAGGGTTTGCAGAGATAGGGGAAAATAAAGGAAAAGGGAGAAAGGAAAAGAGGAAGAATACAATGATTTCATTTCATTTCATTTCATTTTTTTTTTTATTGTGAAAGAGAACAAATTGCCAACTCATCAAAAAAAAAAAAAGAACATGTTTTCCTTTACACATCATTAGATTGAAAAAATAAAATAAATTGTTTTTCTACCAACTTAACGTGCCACATGTTTCTTCCTTTGACAGAAGGACAAGAATAGTATCTACCTTTGACAGAATGACAATATTAGTATTGAAAATGAGAGTTCAAGGATAATTTTGATACTTTCTAAAGTCTGAAGATGAATTTAGCACAAATTTAAAAGTTGAGGGACTATAATGGTATTTTAAACCTATAGAAAACCTCTAATTAAAACATGATACTTATATCAATAAAATACATATGAAAAATCATAACAATCTATTCTTAGTCATACGTGTGATGATAGTCAGAGGTCGTTTCCCTCGGACTAACTAAACTATTTCGAACAAATAACTTCAAAGGGCTTTAAACACCCCTTGAAACGTGATGAGCTCAGATGAAGTCAAGCTCGTCTCTTTTACACTGGTTTTATAGTAACTCTGTACATATTCAAACTTTATATGAGAGATTTCTATGATGATTGACACATATAAGCCCAATTTTTTGCAAGAAAGAATGTGTCGAAAGCTATAAATACCCCTCAAGAGTCTTTCCCCAACAGTAATTGAAACCGATCTCAAGTTTAGTTCTTGTATCTTATCCAACAGACCCGATTATTGCTTATTTAGGCATTGGAGTTTCTACCTCAAGGACCAATTTCGAGGCTTTGCAGGTTGACCAAAGAGAAGATCCGAATGAGAGAAGACTTTGGAGTTCTTTGCAACTACAATAAGAGCTAGAGAATACTAGATCATGTGCCAATCTGTTCAAGGTCACATGAATCGGACGCCATCTTCATCGAGTCGATAATACCATATTAGATCAAAAAATAAAATATAAAAAGACTTCAAAGAATCACCAAATATATAGAGACAGATATGATCTTCCTCTCACACACAAATTTTACACATTCCTTTTACACAAAGACCGTGTGCAGTACGGGTAGACTATTTTCTGTAAATTCTGTAAAAGACAAATAGAGCTCCAAAAATGCTGACACTGCATATAGGACTAGATGCTAGACCTTCCAAAGACTTTGCCCAAGTACACCCTCTTCAACACATAATTTACTCCCTCGCTCAAAACAAAGATGAAAAAAAAGATTTACTTAAACATTGTCTCTGTTTTTTCCTTTTTCTTTTCAAGGGCCACAAAGATCCCAACGTATAACATATGACATTCAACATTCATCATGCACAAATACCGCCAACCAATTCTTCCCAAGAGAACCAATGATTAAAGACAAAACCTCAATTACACAGCAACAGCATTGGGTAAGAAAGACAGGGCATGCAATTTGGTTAAGGAGCTAATTTTCATTAAGTTTGTAATTCCACAAAGAGAAAAATGCTAAAAGTTTGTCACAGTAGAAACCGCTATGACAACAGAGAAAGCATTTGCAGGGATACTAACATATAATTTCCACATCAAGGTAAGAACTAACAGTATCCCAAAAAAGTAAAAAGAAGGAAGTTTACAGATAACTGCAGCTTTAATTTTGAGTCAACATCTATGAGGAGAAAAACAATGCACCTTGTCATGATTAGAGCCATCAGTAAGTTGTATTAAACTATAGTCAAGCTGCATGGGAAAACCAGAGGCAGGAGACACTGGAAATAAGAACATAACAAGAATGTCACATCACACCTGAGGCACATGATTGATGCAGTTCAAACCTCAGGCACAGCATCCAGTTAAACCCCAGTGATTTTGACTTTTCTCCAAATGAGCTTCAGACAGCATTCTATGAGAAATACCCCAGCTAGAGAAGAATGAAATATACACGTGTTAAGCATGGCAGACAAATTCAACTTGTTACCAGGCTGGTCAAAGTTCAAGATGAAAAATAACATACCGGCAATGCTGCAGCATCAAGTTCCCAGAAGCCTCTTAAGCTACCACCCCTCTCCTCTGTCAACCGAAATGAAGGGATCTGATGGGAAAATCTAAGTAGCTCCACTCTAGGAATTTCCACTGTAACATATGTTCTTCCCTTCAACTGGGCCTTAAAAACAGAGCTGAAACCATTTACACGCTCTAAAATTATTACCTTTATCCAGGAATCACTCTCATCCAACACCTCCACAACATCATATTCACAGCTCCCCAGGTCAGAAAGTTTAATTTCAGCAGTCCAGTTCTTATACAATGCCCAGACCTCTCCTTTCCTTGGGAGGATCTTGTATTCATTCTTTCTACCAGCATCCTCTGCTTTTAACTGATGTGAAAAGAATGAAGTGTTAGTGTACACATCAACTTCAGACGAACCCTTTTTAAGTTTAAATCTTCCGCAACAAATAAGCATGTCTTTATCATGCCAATGAATCATTTCTTGTGATGGGCAGGCACAAAACCATCTTACATACAATTTGAAAACTGGGTTGGACTCAATTTTGATAATTTGACCATAATACTTAGGCAAGCCATCCTCATCACAGTACAAGGACCAGATCTGTCCAACTCGAAACTTCTCCTGGGATTTTTCATCATCAAAACTATAAAATTCAGGATCTGGGTATTCAATGATTTCTGGGGATGAAGCTGACGAAGAACTATGATCTTCAGTAGCATTGTTAGCACTATAACTCTCAAGATCTGGATCAGTCTGTTTCACTTCATCATGGTTCACAGGTGCAATTTTCTCAGAGCCCATCTTTCGTTTCACTTTCCCAGGAGATCTTGAATGCAACTCCTTAGGAACAACAATTTCTTCAAGATTAGTAGCCAATGAAGCTGGATCAAGTTCAAAGGATCCTTTAGGTACACCTTTTCTCTCCATACCTGTCAGCTTAAATGAGGGAACCCTGTGGGAAAACCTGAAGAGCTTGCTGGGTGGAATTTGAAACGCATCAATTCCATCCTCCACCATTCGACAGAATAGACTCACAAAGCCTTTCACCTTAACCAAGCAAGCAACAAGTATACCTGCACCATCGTCATATTCTGACAGGATTTCAACAAATTGATATTCAAACTTCCTGTTAGAGCCTGCATCAGAGTTCCATTTGATATCCCAGTTCTTAAAGAGGGCCCATGTTTCCCCCTTTCTTGGAAATACCTTGAAAGTATCTCTCCGTGCTCCATTGTCACAACGCATCAAATGAGAGAACATGAGACGATTTTCAGTGTTTTCAGAATTCCCATATCTGAACTTTCCACATGAAACTGGCAAGCCTTCATCAACCCATTTGATTTCATTCACATCATCTGGATCAGGTTCTAGCCAGGTTATGCGCAGCTTAAACCCAGGAGAAAAGACTTTTCTAATTCGAACATAAAATCTAGGCATTGCATCAAGTGTATCATAAGCAGCCCAAATCTGCCCTACAGCAAAACCTGCTTCTTTCCTGTCCTTGTCAAAGTCATTAAAATCTGGATCAGGGTATAAGTAAATATCCGGTTCTTGGCTGCTTTGGGGGCTTAAATTTGACTTGGAATCAGCATTAAAATTCATCTTACCACCATCAGCACAAGCTTCAGAACATTTCTTAGGATCACCCTCTTTTGTTGTTTCCTGTCCAAATACCTTCTTGGCTTCCTTCTTCCCATTGGCTAAGTTGTTGATTTCGTGTGTCTCTTCTTTTGGTGTGTCTCCATCTTCTTCAGTTGCATTGGATGAACTGCTCCCCTTCGCCCTCTTTGGCGGGTTAACCAAGTCTTCATCATCACTTAAATTTTCTCTGTATGAAACCTCCTGCTTGTGCCTAACAGATCTACGCAGGTTCTCTCTAGGACATTTAACATCCTTTCCAGCCTGAACATTACTTCTCTCATCAATCAGAATATCATCTTCTGAGCCACTGCTGCTTTCTGTATGACAGCTTTCACTGCATTCCACTGGTCGCTTCCTTCCTCTCTTATCATTCGCATCTCCTGTTCCAACACATGAATCATGGGCCGCCTTTGAAGAAGATGCTGCTTTGGAATTCTCAGTGTGTAAATTTGCATGAAATCCTTGTTTCACATTTTGAGCACCCTGATTCTGGACATCTTTCCGTTGGGGAGCCTTTGGTTGACTTGCATCAGTTGCCTGAGGAGCTGCACCCAAATTATATGCAATGAAGGACTTATCACAAGTTTGACAACGAAGAGTCCTATGGAGAATGTCTGTATAATACTGGTATTTGACTGTACAAAATGGACACTTGGTCCAGAAAGTTGGCCGGCCATTGCTATGTGCTTGTTGAGATTGCTGTTGTGGCTGCTTTTGTTGGCGAATTGAACCTGGAAGGTTGGTGCGGAACTTGGTCTGAGCAGTAACATGTGGGTTCCAACTTGACCTCTGTGGCTGCCGAGCTGCTGCTGTTGGTGCCGGTTTACCAAGAGTTACCCTGTGTTTCATGTCATATGCAGACCTTTTACTTTGGTCCAAAAGCACTCTTTGAGCCTCCCCAATCAGCTTAAAAGCAGCTTCTGCACCAGGGAACTTATTCTTATCAGGATGGAGCAGGAGAGCAAACTTCCTATACTGCTTCTTGATTGTGGCCTCATCTGCAGTCTGCTCAATTTTAAGTATGTCATACCAGTCCATCTCATTCCCAAAAATCTTTTTTTCAGCAGCACAATGCACTTCACATGCCATTAGCATCTGAGATATGTTTTCCAGATCATGATAGAGTTGTTGGGCCTTGAGCCCAATTTTGAGAGCCCCATGGAAATCCTTGTTCATCATCCTCTTCTCTGCAATTTCCTTGGCCCTGATGGCCTCTTCTTTGTTGCATTCCATCAAAAATGCAAACCCCTAAAACCAGACTGAAGTTGCTTTAATTAAGTAGACACCACAAAAGAGCAAATGACTGTTTTAAATTGGCAAAAACAAGTACTGATGCATAGGATGTTCTTTTCCTCCAGAATCTCCACAATATCATCCAAGATCTCAATTATATGGTCCCCAAACCAGTCCTGCAATTAATCAATCAATATCAATTAATAGCCTTCCACAGTAAAAGAAGGAACAAGTGGTAAGAAAGAAAAGAAAAAGAGATTGGGTGGAAGAATCATTCACAAAAGTTCAGACTTGAAAAGCTGATATATGAGAACAGATATCAGATTTTACATAATAATTGTTTGTAAACATATTACAGGATTCAACTTTTGGTCGAAACCTAATGACAGACAGCCATATACCTTTGAGTTAAAAAAGTAATTGCTAAACAGTATATAGATAACTTGCAAAGAAAAACCGCAAAATTGTAATAACAACATTAGGGCAAGAATGGGAGAATGTGCACAAGTAGATCAGAATTAAGCAATGAAGAACAAGCTCAATTAAATTTTGAGCCAGAAATCAAAACAAACAATCAGAAATAAATAGATGATGGAGAAAACAACATACCTATTCAAACATTGATTGTCAGAAAAAAAGAAAAAAAAAAAAAAGGGTTTTAGTAAGGATTATCAGGAACACACTACATAATACAAACTCGCCTATAACATTTACATGAACAATAAAAGATAACAGACAGAAGCTGCATGCCAGTGAATCAACCATTCTCTATCATTTTACTTTTCTGCCATGAAGTAATCCCATTACCATTAACATCACACTCGCACTCTCCCGACATAAAGTTATGAATGAGAGCACCACTTAAACACTAAAGTCTGAGCTGCAAACAAACACATAGAAATCACAAAAACCACCCAAAAGAAAAATTATCAACAAAACCCACGAACCTATTTATAAAAAAAATAAGAACCCATATATCCAAATTACATCTTGAACCAAATCCCACAAAAACCAACATTCTGCAAACACAATAAACCAGAACCCAAAACCCAATAACAAAGGACCGTACCGTACGTGCATGGTTTGAAGCACTTAAACATGTAAAGTATACTATGTACATGAAACAATGGTGGTTGGATAAGTTCAGGATTCAAATATTCTTCAAATGAAATCGAAAAGGAACCCTAGAAATTACAAAATCAAAGAAGCGGGAAATGAAAAAACGGAAACGAAGTTGATAAAATTGGAGAAACAAATTGGTAAACACAGGACTTACTCGTTTTCTGGAGAAAAATGTGTCCCCTAAAACAAGAGGTTTTTGGGGGAAAACAAGAATCAGAGATCAGATAGTGGAGGGAGGAGGGGGGAGATTACGACATTGGAGAAGAATAGTAATCGGAGCGTACGACTGAAATTTCCGTATTGCCACTCTATTTGTGTGTTCCAACGGCAGAGATTGCTGTAATTAGAATTAATATTAGGGGCAATTTTGGGTGAAAGTTTTGGTTATTTGCAACATAAGTCCTTGTACTTTTGTGAATTTGCAGGATAAGGAATTTTAACTTAAAACGGATCTCGATTTGTGAAATTAACAATTCTGAATATAAACATCTCATGAGAAGTTTATGAGTTAATTAAAGAAAAACTCAATTCAAGCTTGAGTAACAAATGATCTTCAGCTTAGGTTCGATAATATTATTGAGTCTTTTATATGTAACTCAACTCAGTTTTTATAAATACTCTCACTTATTTTACTATTCATTAGGTTCGATAATATTATTGAGTCTTTTATATGTAACTCAACTCAGTTTTTATAAATACTCTCACTTATTTTACTATTCATAAGAATCTAATCTTAATTCTCTCTAGATTTTTTTTTTCTTCTTACTTGCTCTAGATGAAGACAATACTCTAATGCCTTCTCTATTTCGCATGTCCAAGACTTATTTAATTTTCAGCTAATTAATCGTGAGTTATTTCTCCAGTGAAGACAATTGGGACTTAAGTACATTGGTCTCAAAAAGTTAAAGGACTTAATCATTGAGGAGAAGAGAAATTAATGGACTACTTTATTACTTTCTATAAAACAAAGGATACATTTGATTTGCAAGAAATGAAGAGAAAAGAAGAACGATGATTTTTTTTGACTAATTAAATTGCAATACTCCTTGATATCCCCAAATTTAGCATACAAGTTAACTAAATCATTACAAACATAAGCATAAGCTTGAAAACCACACCTAAAACTTAAAACTTTTTAAGGCAACAAACAATTAAATTGTAGTATTCCTGGATGTCTTTTCACTAAAGACACGATCTTGGATGTGATATGGTATAGATTTACCGGCATTTAAAATCTTATTTCCTTTTTTAAAACTCTGAAACTTAAAACTCTTTAGATTATCACTTCTTCAAACGTTCTTCCACTCATGTTGCTTAGATCAGTTAATAAATTTTTGTTTGCATTCTATAGTAGAAGAATAAATTATTAATTTGAATTTTGCCACAAGAAATTGAAGGTCTCTTTGATCATGACCGTTGGGTTGGCATTGTTGGCAACTTGGCAAGTTGACAAGCTGGTATTGCTCTATTATTATGGGAGATAAATTATAAATATTAATATTGGTTTTCAATCTTTTGAGAAATTACAAAAACTCCATGTGTTTGTGTTATGCTCTTAGCTACATTTTTATTTTGTACTCCAAATGATTAAAGAATGGGACAAATATTCCCATCAAGTAAGTATAGACAAAATAATAATTGACCTAGAGGCTAAAAGAATGACAGAAAATTAAAATATCATGACAATTAAAATGTAATGAATAATAAAAAAACCATAAATATCCTTAACAAATTCTATACAAGAAAAATTCATTCAAGATATTTGAATAATTTTAAAAGTGATCTTGACATTAAATATACTCATAATAGTTGGATCTAATTGAAACAATTAAAAATATAGGCGATCCAATTGATACAAAAAGTAGTAAGGATAAGAATGATATTATCTTTTTTTATCGAGGACCAAAGTCAGATGCGGTTCAAAGGTTGAAGATAAACGTACATAGCAAATCTTCCCACGCCTCACCAGGCCCGCCCTTTTTTTTTGAATTTTTGGCCAAACAAATTTTATTATTTATTTTATTACATAAACTGAAAAAAGTGCAGGTTTTCTTATGTTCTTGAACCGGCAACAATAATACATTAATATTATAATTATAATGTTATATAAAATTATAAATTTATAATTATAATATAATATTATATGAATATATTATAACATTAAATGAGTGCATATAGATAACATTAAACATGAATAGTTAAATAAAAAAATTAACTATATAACAATATATCATATTATACATTTATAATATTATGTCACATTATAATTATAATATTTTCAAATTATAATATTATTCATAAAACAAAGAATACAAAGTACAAATCCATTCTTCAAGTATAAATAGGATGCTAAATTGTTAAACATTCAAATATAGATCCCATCGAAGATATAAACATGGTAAGTATTCCACTATCCTTTGTTGCTCAGAATTCCCCTACTTTCTCAACCTTGCCAGCACATGGACGACCTTCTTTTCCTCCTTTGTTGAAGAGGAGCCCTATTCTCTTCAAGAATGAACTTCACAATTGTTTGTTGTAATTATGATGGCCTCATATGGCTTCAATTTTCCTGCTATTCAAGTAAATCCAATAATTTTTACAAAATTTTGTGAAATAAAGGATTGAACAATATTCAGTTCCAATTTCAGGCATACCTTTCTTTCTTCCACGTCCTTTGGTCCATTCCAGTTGTCCATTGTTTTTAGAATTTCTATTTTCTGAAACTGACTTGTCATTCTTAAGTAAATCCTAAAAGCAAATGTCACAAAGAACCCAATATTCTAATGAGCAAAAAAATTCAATAAGGCCCCCTATACGTTCCTAGTCTCTATTACTTTTTTACTTATTATTTATTGTTTAGTTGATAAATATTGCTAAGTATTAAGGCAGAGCATTGCATTCTTGTTGTAGTTCCTGGTTGATTTGCTATTAAAAAAAAAAAGGGGTAGAAATCAATGTGTTTAAAACATAACATGTCTTTTTCTCAAACCCTTAATCTTTCAAAATCTTCTCATACAAAAAGTTGATAAAAAAGCATTGAACCCTCTTAACCTCAAACAAAATTCATAAGTTAAGACAATCGTATGCAATTAACATAGCCAAATTAGTTTCACCCTCAAGTTAAATGCCCAAGAAAACATTAGAATCCTACTCTTAGATAGGTCATAGAGCAACATTATCCAGTATTAAATACAAAACCAAAAAATAATCCTAATAGTCCAAATGAGAAGGAAATAAGAAAATCAATTAAGGTGAAGATTCAAATATTAATCAAGAAATAAATAGGAAATAAACAAACATAACCAAAGGACTTAACTTTCAAAATTATAAATTACATTCAGATCTTACGCTAAATAAATAAAATCAATCTTGAAATAACTCCAATTAAATCTAATGTATTTGCTTTATGCATCAATCCCCATGAATATAAGTGAGAAATTATCTTCCCAACCTATTGTTTTTATTCTTTTTTTACTATTTTCCTATTCTTATATGGATTAAATGTGTAGTATTAATTAACAATAGAAATAACATTCTTTTTAATTCAGAATGTAAATAGCAACATTGAAAATGTACCTTTGATTAAACTTAAAATTGCTGTAGAACTTGTAAATGGAATTGGTTTTACTAAATAAAGAAAAAAAATTCAGAAACTTGACATTAAATAGTAATTAAATGAGAAAATAGAGACAGACATACTTGGAGCATGCTTGATGATATAAAAGAGTGAATTTATTATACCAAGCCTCTCCAAGGTATAGAAAATAAGTGTTTTCTAAATGAAATTGTACTTTCTTCCACTATTTACGTTTTGCATGAGCATTTAACACTTTTGAAACCAAGATGAAAATTGTATTGGTGAAAAGAATTAAAGACAAAAATATAAAAACTTCCCTCTTATAAAGCTATTTTCTAGATTTTTTAATTCTCCTTTCTAGTATTCCTTTATTTAGTGCATTAATATAGTTACCTAGGATTGAACTTAAAAGGATATCCTTGTAAAATGACTTTGAGAGAGATTAATATATAGATAGAAACAGGGAAATTTATGATAATCTTTTTTAGTCAGAGGTCTAAATGATTTATAGAGATGGAAATCACCTAATATAATAGTGACATTTTGGTCAAATCAAATATACCTTAAAAGTTAAAACAAGAAAATGATATTTGTATACTTTAAACAATTAAAAATAATAATTAATTTAAAATATATTTTGTGTCAAAAAACAACAGTTATATATCTTGGAACGGTGGGAGTAAGAGTTTACAAGTTAATACCCATTACCTACAAGCCTTGATTTATTGTAAAAGTAAGTTCAAACCTCTGTATTATAGAACAACTAGCTTCAATGTGAACAAAAAAATGGAAAAAAGAAAAAAATTGTTCATTTTTTTTATTTGTTCTTGCCCAAAAAAATACAATCTTTTTTACCAAACAAAAATTATATATAATTTGCAGTGCACCTTGTGTTGTCTTGACTGAAAATGGGAAGATTTATCATAATATTATTAACTAGTAAAACACTTTACAGAAAATATTTATTGAAACTTAAGATTTATGAAAGATATGCAAGTACATTCATAATTCAGGCTGCATTTTTGTATTGTCTTGATTGAAATCATATTTTCCTCGATTTGAGAAGAGAGGAGGAGAGCATAGGAGAGGGGAGAAAATGTGAGGAGAAAAGGAAATTTTTTTATTTATATATTATTTTAATTTTTTTATATTTTATTCTAATCAAACAAGCTGAAAAAGATAAAACTACCTAAAAAGGAAGACTGGAAAAAGGGAATCTCATGGAGCTCAAAAACATAACTTACAAAAGGTAATTCTCATTAACCAATAATCTTAATCTTAACTACCAAGCCAGACATAAGGATCAGAATAGATTTATGTTTCCTTTTATCAAATCACACAAACTTCATTCATTGTGGACTAGACCTTCTTCATGGTTTTTATCATACTACACAAACTTCATTCATTAAAACTGGTGCACTGAACCTTATTCATGGACCGGTGGATTGCCAGTTGGCGCAGGAGGGCTTGGTGGGTCTTCCTTATCCAAATTCCAGCTCTTCTGATTCGGGGTTGATGGTGGAGCGTTGAAATTAACATCTGATGGTTTACCCAGCAGACTCCTGGGGTAACGAGGAAGAAAATTAACAACGTCACTAGTAGCGGTTGTAGGTGAAGTACTGCAGGGCTTTTTTGCGGCAGCTGTCTCTTCAAGAATAGGCTTCGCTGCAGTTGCTATCAAATTCAATCTAAAAACATCCAAAAGAAAGTTACAATTCACAATTTAATGTTCCCGTATATGTACAGAAACAGAGTTTTATTTGAAACCGCATTTTTCAGTAAGCCAAATCCTAAATCTACTCCAAGTAGGGTAGAGAAAGATATCTCTTAAAAAAAAAAATAATCATAAATTATTCTTCTAAATTATCAATTAAAATAACTTATTTATTATTTAATATGTAACGTTATATATTAAATAATAAATTATTTATCTTATTCAATGGTTTAAAAAAACAATTTATCATTACTCTTTTGTGATGTACAGGTCCTTATCTTTCTATTTAAGAATAGATTTGCTTTTTCAATATGAACTTCCAGGATCACATAACTTTTTTTTCCCAAAAAGTGCTCTAATTTTTTGGGGTAAGAGATTCTAAATTAGAATTTTAAGTTAAATAAGAAGGAATTTAAGAAAAAAAAAAAGGTTATTCCTCTTTATAGCTCATCATTATGGAAAAAAACTAATAATTTAATTTTTTTAGAAAAACCTTGCTCCTGTGGAATTGATTTGTTAATGATATAAGAACATGAAAATGGGATTGAATTGGCCAATTGGTTAAAAATTTAATTACCTGGTTGGAAGACTAGGACAGAAAGTAACGACGTAATCTGCGCTGCGGCAGGTGAATGTGCTGGTCCCATCGCCATATGCATAGACATAAGCTTGAGGGCAGGCGTTCTTGAAGAATTCCACATAAGTGCTGGGCTTGCAAGTGTCCGGGGACGCGTACGCCCCTCCGCAGCTGTGCTGGGCGTCTCCGACATCACAAGCGCTCTTGCGCGCCACCACCATCCGTTCATTACTCTCATCAATAATCTTAAGCTCCACGGGACATTCATCGTTCAAGTCGGCGGTGCATCCAGTGGACAAGCAGTTCCCTCTGGTCCCGCCGGCCACCATCATTGGCAGATCATAGCAGTCCACAAGACTGACCTCGTAAAAATCAAGCCCTCCTGCACCATTTAATGTGAATTTGGCCAGAGTTGCAGGAGGAGCAACGCCACCACCGGAGCATGCCATAGAGGAAGAGCCCCAATCTCCAGTGAGACAAGAGAATTTACCGGAGGAATCTTGGGTGCAGAGAGAGTGTAGAGTGTGTCCTCATAAACGGAGGGATGTGGATTTCCCTGGCTGGAGAAGACAACCTGTGGTGGACGGTTCCCGTGTTCCAGCGCCAGAGAGAATCCCCGTCCAAACTGGATAGCTGCACTCGTTCCTGATTGTAAACGTTGATGAATAAACACCTGTAAAACAATTTAAGTCAATATTCAAATCTCTACAACAACTAAGTTACTAGAACACATGATACAAAAAGAATTTATGTTTACCCCGAAGAAAAGCAAGAAGGCATGCAGCTAAAATGGGCTGTTGAAGAGAAGCCATGTTCAATAGGAAAAAGAAGAGAAAATTACAACTTAGTTATTATGTGAAGAAGAGGAGGAGGGGGTAAGGTGTATGTATAGAGTTGGGGACTGAAAAAGTAGAGCTTTCCACTAAAAGCAGACAGAACAGAGGGGCGAGCCCACAACCTGCGACGACTAACTGTTTTATCAAGATTCTCGAAGCTCCATTGCCTATTTTCAAAAGGGTTTTTCTTATTATAAAAGTGTATTTATTGTATATTTTTATCATTAATCATACATTAATTTACATAAAAAAATAAAAAATTAACATTAATTTTAGTTTTTTTGACATATGAATTTTTTTTAGACAATTAATAAAATTAATATTAATTTTTAATTTTATTATATATATTAATAATAAAAAAATACGATAAATACAAGACACAAGAAAAAAAATCCTTTTAAAAAAAGATTCTCAAACTAGACACTGAATACTTTTTTATGCAGTGTCAGCAGTGACGAATTGAAGACTTTTTTCGACGTGAGGAATTGAAGATGGATGACAATTGGTGGATTGATGAGATGTGAGGAATAGTGGTGCCCTTCTATCACGACATTAAAGAAGTGGATTGAATTAATTGGAAAATAATATTTATAATAACAATAAATATATACATACATATACACGCACGCAATTAAAGGTATACCGGTAACAATATTATCTGCCACACGAAGGGAGCCAGAGTTTAGAATAAGGTGCGAAATTTCAAAAGCTTTTCAGTCATAATTAATTTATATTAATATAAATTATACAGATTTCTATATTAAAATATTAATATTTAGTAATCTAAATTAAAACATGAATTTCATAATCCTTATTTTATTTTTTTTTTCCTTCCAAAAATATAGGTTTTCGTTTAAACTATACATAATAAGAGCATATCAATGTACTAATCTTTTAAATTCAATAGTTTATCTCTATATCTTAATACTTATAGTTCGACCTATTCCCTTCTTATTTCCCTTAAAATTACCGTTGTTCAAAAAATTAAAAAACATATCAAACATAGAAATTACTAAAGCATCTTTAATAAAAAAATATAAAAAAAAACCTCAATAAAGATTATTTCTACCATTTAAACTGAAAAATATTTTTGGAGATTTTTATATTCATCAGCTGTGTGTTGTTCAAAAGAAAAAAAAATAATGAACTCCACCATGCAGTTTCATAAGTCGCGCGTCTCAATGAGGAGTAGAAGATCACTTATTTTAGGGATTGAACCTCCAATGCTAATATTTTTTAATTTAATTATTAATTATTACTCTTGTAAAAAATATATATATAATTGTAAAATTTTTTTGACTACATGGTTTTTGTCATTTTCCATGCATTTAGGAGGGTCACTATCTTACCAAAAGGGTTCTTAAATGGGACCCCCTAAGTACTGGGGAGTTCAATGAACCCACACTGTTTGTAGTTTTTTTCTGAAGACATTTCGCGACAGAAACGCATTTGGAGATTGATTTAGTTGGCAGAGATCAATACACAGTGTACATTATTGACTTAGAATTGCATTTTAGGCAAAGGTTCAAAATAATTCTCGAATTTCTTAATTTTGACGTAAATGATCGGTGTTTTTTTGAAGGCAAATTGGAAAGCAACTGTTCTCTAATTCTCACATGAATAGCGGTTTGATTAAGTTGAAAAGCAGCCTGCCGCTTGCTTATCTTGTCGCATACGATACAATTATTTTCTTCTTTAGTTGGAATCCAGAAACTCTCATGACCAATTAATCAATTATCCAATTTCAAAGTTTAGTTTATAGTGTTATTGGTTTAAATAATTTAATAGTTATTTTTTTATTAAAAATAAAAAATTATGAGTTTGAGTCGTATAATATATAAATGAAATGAAAAAAATAATAATTACCTCTTATTATACCAAAAAATAAAGTTTAATTTCTAATGAGTTATATATGCACGTTATAAAGGACCAAACCCCTATTTATATTTTATACATAATTTATTTTTAGTCAATATTTTTTAT